ACAGGTTTGTCAAATAGAAAAGTTTTGTGGAAATGGTTAGATTTTGATAAACTGTCTACTGAACACAGGGAGGGTTCCATCAGAATCCTGCCTGGTTTCGAGACTCCTTCCCTGCCCACCTTCCTGGCAGCCCGCCTGGTGAGTGCTGGGGGCTTTCAGGGTCCATGGCTCTGGGGCAGCCTTTCCATCCAGACTCCTGGTCCAGCTGACGCCACATGAAAATTCCAGGGGACATATTTCATTTCAGAAAAAACACGTTTCTGTGTTTCCAAAACAAAATATTGCAGGATTTCAAAATATTGAAAAAACGGACATTTCTGCTCTTTGTCCCAATTTAGGTAATAAAGTTCCAAAAATTCAAACATTTTCATAGAACTGAAATTTTGTTTTCTGGCCAGCTCAGTCTATTTGTCTGTAATGTGAAAACTTTTGTATGCCACATCGGATCAATTCCAAAATTGCAGGGAAAATTCTATGCATCAATGACAGAAAGAACCCAATGATTTTGGTGAAAATTGGAAAAATGATAGGAGGGAAATGGGGGGCACACAGAGTCCCTTGCAACTAGTTAGCAGATCCAGGAGCTTCAAGCACCTTTGCAATTGTCTAAAATGGGCTGCATTAGCGACTTTTGGCATTCCATCTCAGCTCTGCCCATCCTCCCATCTGTGGGGGACCACACAGCACCTCTGGCAGAGAGAATAAGGGTATGGGGGGAAAGACAATATGGGGCACAAATAGCCCCAGGCATGTGGCAGAAGAGGGAATGTGGGGGTACACAAAGCTCCTGCCATGGTGAGGAAGAGGGAAATGGGGAAAAGGAGGGATGGGGAAACTGGGGACAGTGGTATGAGGGAGAAGAATATGTGTGTGGGTGGGAGTTGTAGACTGATAGTGGCATGGGGGATAATAGGGGAGGGAGGGAACACAAGTGAATTAAGTTAAATCTAACTGAGGCCACTTTACTGCTGAATGAGAGCATTAGCACATGAGTATAATGTACTCTAAATCAGTGGTTCACAAAGCTGGTCTGCCGCTTGTTCAGGGAAAGCCCCTGGCAGGCCAGGCTGGTTTGTTTACCTGCCGCGTCCGCAGGTTCGGCCGATCGTGGCTCGCACTGGCCGCGGTTTGCTGCTCCAGGCCAATGGGGGCTGCGGGAAGAGCAGCCAGCACATCCCTCGGCCTGCGCCACTTCCAGCAGCTCCCATTGGCCTGGACGGCAAACCGCGGCCAGTGGGAGCCGCAATCAGCCAAACCTGCGGACGCGGCAAGTAAACAAACCGGCCCGGCCCGCCAGGGGCTTTTCCTAAACAAGCGGCAGACCGGCTTTGAGAACCACTATTCTAAATAATGTACTTTAAATTCACACCTTGAGTTAATTTAGCGTAACCTTCCTGAGTGTCCCTGTGTAGACATGCCTTTAGGAGTCTTAGGCCTGGTCTACACTTGGGGGTGGGGTTCGATCTAAGTTATGCAACTTCGCTACGTGAATAACGTAGCTGAAGTCGACGTACTTAGACCTACTCACCGTGGTGTCTTCACTGCAGTGACTCAACCACTGCCGCTCCCCCGTTAACTCTGTCTGTGCCTCTCGTGGCAGTGGAGTACAGGAGTCAACAGGAGAGCGCTCAGGGGTCGGTTTATTGCGTCTAGTCTGGACGTGATAAATTGACCCCCACTGGATTGATTGCTGCCCGCCAATCTGGTGGGTAGTGTAGACATACCCTTACAGAGTCAGGCTCCAAGTTTCCTAAGGCTTTGGCTGCACCACTGTAGTGCTTCAGTGTAGACACTCACTATAGAGGCAGGAGGGCTTCTCCCATCGCTGTAGTTAAATCTACCTCCCCGAGAGCTGGTAACTAGTCAATGGAAGAATTCTTCCATCAACCTAGTGCTGTCTACATTAGGGGTTAGGTTGGCTTCACTACATTGCTCGGGCTGTGGATTTTTCACACCCTGAGCAACATAGCTAAGTCGACCTAACTTTTCAGTGCAGATCTGGCCTCTGGCTACTACACTATGGAGCTTATGTAGCTGTCAGCCAGCCCCCTGGTGTAGATGCGGCCTACACCACCTCCCTGAATGACAGTAACTATGCCGACTGAAGCATTCCATCAGGGGTGTGATTTTTCACACCCCGATTGATATAGGTGTGCCTGAATAAGTTTGAAGTGTAGACCAAACCTAAGTCACCTCTGAAAATGTTGTCCAGTGTCTATTCTCCTCTATGCTAACTAGAGGGTCATACATCTTGCTTCTTGTCAAGTATCAGGGGGTAGCCATGTTAGTCTGTAACCACAAAAACAACAAGGAGTCCAAATAAATCTGTTAGTCTTTAAGGTGACACCAGACTCCTTGTTCTTGCTGCTTGTGTAGGCCAAGTGCACTGCACCCACCAGGGGTTCTTTTCATTCCTCCATTCTCTCCACTCACACTCCCCACTTGCCACCCTCCCATTGCCTTCTATTCAGGGGCTCTCTACACATCTCCATGCCCTTCTTCATGCCAGGGGCTCTGTGTGCCCCCCAGTTTACCCCCTTCTAGTGAGTAAGATAAACTGAACTAATGCCACTTTTTTCTGAATGAGAGCATCCACAAGGGCTAATGCACTTTAACGATGCACTTTAAATTCACACCTTTAGTGAATTCAGCATAACTTTCTTAAGTGTCCCTGTGGAGACTTGCCCTAAGAGACTTTTGGAAATGGGAGTTAGCCTTCTAAGTGTATGCCTACACTATGGGAACTATCCTGGCATAGCGATGGCCCTGTAGCTATGCTAGCATAACCCACAGCGTAGACACAGCCTATAGAAACAGAAAGGGATGCTACCTCCCTGTATCATGGTAGCTAGGTCAATGAAACATTCTTGCATTGATCTAGCTGTGTTGACACTGGGGTTTAGGTTGGTATAGCGATAATTGGTCAGCAATGTGGATTTTTCACACCCTGACCAATGTAGCTATGTTGACCTAAATTTTAAGTGTAGACCAGGCATAACTCATGTAGGCCTTTATGTAAATTTTACCCCTGACACATTTGAATACATTGTAATACAACTTTTACAGTTTTAAAAATCTGGTTAAGTTCCTATTTCCTCCCTCCCTCTCAGAAGGAATCCTTTTTATCCATTATATTTATGCAGATACTATTGGCATGAATGTGGTCTCAACACTCAATATAAACCCAAGAGTACTTATTCTTAAACAGAACTAGCAGTCTATTTAACCTCAATCTTTATTATCACAGCTTCTGTGTAGTTGATGGGGCACGGTCTTAGCAGTGAGCAGTAATGATATCTTATGTATCAAAGCACAAATATGACAAAATAGCAATAATAGTATGCTAGAATCCTTCCCCCATAAACAAAACAGTTCAAACATAGGCCATAATGCTAGCCTCTCCTACCCCAGAGCTGGGATCATAAGTAGACTGTCAAAATATGGTCTTCCAGCTGGCAGAACAATGTACTATTGCTGACTTTAGTAGTGCATTTGAGGCTGAGCTTCTAGAAGGGGTCCTTTAAGTCCACAAGTGCTGCCTGGTTGGCTTAACATTAGAAACTCACTAGATGTTTTCTGATGGGTCAGCAGAAGGTACTTGGAAAATTATCTAAGTGTAGGGTTGGCATCACAGAGAAATACAGTACAAATAACATTCTGGAAGATTGGCATGTTAAACTGAGCTATGATTTAGGACATTTAGAGCTGTGGGATACATCAATAAGGTATCAGGGTTTTCAACATAGGGGAGATATTTATTCTACAAGAATAGAGATAAGGGCTAGGATCCTTGCTGATTTTTCATGCAAGTGAGTTGGCTAAGTCCATTTAAGAGGATAAACTGACTTAACCCCAACCTTTAATGAGATATTTATATAGAGAGACCTACATGTAATTTTCATGTGTGTGTTTCTTGTTGTATCTGTAGAGGATAGTTTCTATGAAATCCTTGACCTCTCATATCAAATGAATTTCCTCTTAATGTTTCAACTTGCAATTTCAAAACAGATTTATAAATTGTTTCCAGATTTAAACTATTCAAAAGGTTCAAATCATTTGAGGTGCTGAGTCCCTTCAGCTTCCATTGAAGTCTTGGCATCTCACAACATGGAATCAAAATGATTCATTAGAATTATTTTGAAGATCAGTATTACAGTACTTGCATCGCAGTAAGTACAAATATACTTCATCAGTAGGAGTAAACATACAATTGGAATACTTTCTACAGAATGGTTTTGTAAATATAGGAGTCTTGATTCATCACCGTGTTACTCTAGTGTTATGCCTCTGTCATTCCAGTGTGATTGTCTGGGGTCTTAAAGATTCTTTCATGTTCGTAAGAAGTTCATTCCTAGGTACAGCTGTTGTCTCTCCAGGGTTTTCATAAACCATAGTGATATTCCAGCAGAGTAATATTTAAATGTGAAAAGTTCCCTGTCCAAAGTGCCTGAGAGAGGGCAACCCTTGTGAGAGGAAGAAGTGCTCACTAAGAATATAATTGTGGCGTACCCTAGCAGAGTTGGGAAAGGGAAGGGCGTGTTTTGAATGGGTCATTATTTTCAATTGGGTTGCACTCGAGCAGGGCTCAGCAACCTTTCAGAAGTGGTGTGCTGAGTCTTCATTTATTCACTCTAATTTAAGGTTTCACGTGCCAGTAATACATGTTAATGTTTTTAGAAGGTCTCTTTCTCTAAGTCTATAATATATAACTAAACTATTATTGTATGTAAAGTAAATAAGTTTTTTAAAATGTTTAAGAAGCTTCATTTAAAATTAAATAAAAATGCATAACCCGCAGGGTGAGTGCCACTGAAAATCAGCTCGTGTGCCACTTTGGGCACACATGCCATAGGTTGCCTACCCCTACACTAGAGTAACTGGAGTATTTCTAAGTGAATCAGGCTCCAGAAATACATTCTAGATTTATAACATTGTAAGAAATTCTGTGTCCAAAGAAGTTTAAATATTTTTGATGAATTTATATTACATTCTGTTTTCAGTGTCAGCCAAACCAAGACCTCACAGTGATGAATATACCAAGAAGATCCCTCCTCCTAAGCCTAAACGAAATCCAAACACTCAGCTAAGCACATCTTTTGATGAAACGTACATCAAAAAGCACGGCCCCATGAAGACAACACTCACTAGGGATGCCTCTTTATCGCAAGTCAGCAGTCCTGCCCCAGACACAGAAGAAGAAGAGCCTGTTTATATTGAAATGGTTGGGAATATACTAAGAGACTTCAAGAAAGATGAGGATGACCAAAGTGAAGCAGTCTATGAGGAGATGAAATACCCTATATTTGATGATGTAGGCCAAGATTCAAAGTGTTCATGTGAATATGACCATCACAGTTGTTCTTCTCAGTGTGCTACTCCCACAGTGCCTGACCTAGAATTCACCAAGTCCTCAGTGCCATCTACTCCCAAGGGCTTGCTTTGTGATATCCCCCCACCATTTCCAAATCTACTTTCTCATAGACCTCCACTACTGGTGTTCCCGCCAGCACCAGTGCAGTGTTCCCCAAATTCTGATGAGTCTCCTTTAACTCCACTGGAAGTCACAAAGCTTCCTGTATTAGAAAATGTGTCTTACATCAAACAACAAGCTGGAGCTTCTCCATCTTCACTGCCACCTCATACACCGGGCCATCAAAAACTGGAGAAAGACCAGACAGTATCTCATGGAACTACTACTCCTGGGCACTCCTCCTCACCTCCTCATCCTTCTACCTTATACAGAACACAGTCTCCGCATGGCTACCCTAAAAGTCACTCTGCCTCACCCTCTCCTGTCAGTATGGGTAGGTCTCTTACCCCCTTAAGCCTCAAAAGACCTCCACCTTATGACTCTGTACATTCAGGAAGTCTCTCAAGAAGTTCTCCATCAGTGCCTCATTCTACAGCCAGAAACACGTTGCAAGAAGGGGGAAAGATGGTAAATGCCTCGGCCAATACCTACGGGTCATCATCACAGAGTGGTTCACGCTCTAGAACACCGACCAGTCCTTTAGAGGAACTAACCAGCCTCTTTACCTCAGGACGAAGTTTACTGAGGAAGTCGTCCAGTGGCAGAAGATCTAAAGAGCCTGCAGAGAGTAAGTTTTCAATACACTGTTTAACTGTCTCATCTACGTCATTATAACTCTTGTCATATTTTATTAAATCAGAACTGTGCAAATAACCACATAACTCAGCAACATGAATTATATATGTCTATTCCTTTCCAGAGGAAAGTTGATTACTGATGAAAACTGCTTCTATATTTCATGTTTTTATTTTATATATCAAGGTTTCAGAGCTATTTGTACTGTATTATGAAGGCTCGCAAAAGAGAACTGTAAGAGATTTAAGGCCCAATCCCTACAAGGTCTTAAAGGTCTCTGTTGTGATGCTGACTTCTGTCCAGTGCCATTGAAGTGCCCTGAACTCACATGGAATTCATACCTCATGGTCTCAGGCCCATAAATACTTAAATAATAATGTTAGAACATGATAAATATCCTAGCTGTTTTCAACAAAAGAATCCCACACCTTTGTTTCCTGGCTAACAGTCTCACACATAGCTCCCATTACCTTTGAGAATACTCCGCATCTTGCAGCATTCTGACCTTGAAACTACACAAGGTGTAACTCTAACTGAAGTTAGCAAGAGATGAACATCCATAAGGGTAAACTTGGCACAGATATTAGTATGTCCCCAAATCCTTCAAAGTCAGTGAAACCAAAGACAGTGTTTGACCCTGAGCTTTTATAGATGAGCAAAGTCAGTGAGCTTGATATGATTTCTCAGTTTATGACTTTGATATCTTGAAGCCCGAATAGCTCAAATGCTTTTATTTGAGAATAATTGATTTTGTAGCATTCTATTGTATGTTTGTACTACTAATATATTATACCTTTTTGGCAGAGATGTAACAAAAAAAGTGCCAAATTCTATGCTGGCTTTCATCCTGATAAGTGATGGTAGTTAGGACGTCTTCAGGCTACCAAAGTTTTATAGAGAGATTGGGCATTTTCTGAACTGATATATAATCTCTGTATCCCCTTGAAGTCAGCACTTGATTCTCCTTTCACTTACAGCAGTTTTACACCTCCCCTTGGGACCAATTCTCTTCTCATGTATATTAGTGTATATCAGGAGTAACTCCTTTGAAGCCTATGGATTTAAAACCGTGGCAGTGAGAAGGGAATTAGGCTCAGTGGGATACACAGAGTATAAGTCAGTGCAAAAATTAGCTTGATCCACCTACGATAGTTTGTCAGGCTGCAGACATAAATGCATTGTATGGAAGCTTAGTTCCATGATTCAGTAGTTTTGCCACAAATAATTACAGTAATAAAAATACAATAACACCAGATTTGTGTGTGGGATGGAAGCAAATTTGGGTCTAGAATGAGAAGGTTCTTGTAATAAGGGACAAATGTGAAGTATGTTACAACATTTAGGAATAATTAAAGTGAAGTGGTAGAGAAACAGTGGAGGAGTAAAACTGGCAATAAACATTATTGCTTGTTAATAAGCAAACAAAAATCCAGCACCATCCAGAGAATGAATAAATTCTAAGGTTCTTTCTTTGTCAGTGTGCATAAGAGAGCTGACCTTAGAACCCTGAGAAAGTCCTACAGTGAATGTGTCAGTTCCAGATGCTGAAATTTCAGGATCTCTTTATGCTGCCATTTCACCGAGGACCCCATAGGTGCTGGAACTAGGGGTGCGGGTGGGGGAGGGTGGGGGGACAGAGGTGCTGCAGCACTCCCTAGTTTGAAGTGGTTTCCATTACGTACAGGGTTTACAGTTTGGTTCGATGGCTCTCAACACTCCCACTATACAAATTGTTCCAGCACCCCTGGATGACCCCCAAAAGAAGTTCTGTATATTCCACTTGACTGAAATTGACTGTAGACTATCAAGGGGCATTTCAGATATGAATTTAAAGCAGATCTTGCCCTCAAGATTTCCACAGAAAGCAGCTTTCTTATTGGCTTCCCTAGGAGCATTTTGTTTGCCCTTCCAAGGGGAGAAAAAGTGTTTGTTATTGGCCATTAGCAGTGAGAGAGAAGAGGAATTAGAGAAGCCAAATTTGGTTCCTTTAAGGACAAACCATCCATGTTATGTAGTGAAGCTAACAGCAAAGACTTTGGAGTGCTGCTATGTAGAGGAAGTAAACAGACTGTCAGTCTAATCCTGCTTTACTTCATCTGGTATTTACAGTATGATTTAATCTCCTGGGATTACCACAATAAACAAGAATCGGGTTTGTGTTCAAATATTATAGCAATAGAAATCACTTTAGGATGACTTGTAACCAAGTATGAGATGAGCATTATCTCTCGTGTAATTCTACCAAAAAAAAAAAAAAGAGAGATACACAATAACACAATTAGAGTAAATTGTGGAGTTTGAACGTATAATCTGACCAAGCTTGTCACATTTTGTGGTGTATAATAACACACAGTGGAAGACAATGTAGACTGAACTTCTCTTCAGATGTATTTAAGAAATTTTACTCCTACAAATCATGCAGAAAGCCTGAGGCTGTCACACTATTTTGAATCAGGATATAATATAATACTCTACATTTATTTGAACAAGAGAAGAGCAAATCCAATATATGGCAAACCAGCACGGACCCTTTTTTCTTTTTGCCAGTTTAATGTAATTTAGTCTGAACAAATTTCTGGAAACCTGATGGAAGTAGGAAAAAAAGAGAAAGTTGTGTCCATCTTATGAAATAAGATCTCAGAAACTAATGAATGTGTAGTTTGAAAAAATATATATATTTATTCTGGGCACATCTCAGGCAAGATTCTCATTGAAGCCTATGCAATTTGGCCCTCTCTGACTTGTTTGAAGTACTCATTGCTAAATGTAAGTTTTAAAAATTGCATGATATAGGATTTTGGATTCAAATTGAGTGTAGTAGGAATGTACTGTAGCAATTATGGAGCAAAGTCGACTCAGTTACATGGTTGCCACTCCAGCTGACTTCTGTGGGAATTGTGCACACATAGCCAAAGGCAGAGTCTATTCAGTGGGCTTTTTCCGTGTTTTTTTGTAGTTCAGAGTATCTCTGGAGTAACTCTCTGTACTAACTCTATAGAGAGTTAGCGCACAGAAAGATGGGGTGTAAATCTAGAATGCTGTCATGTGCTGCACATTAACTAGCTATGTGGATGCTGCTATTGTGCAAGAAAAGGACCATAATGCACCAGCAGTAGGTCAAAGTGTACCTCAGAGCTTTTCATATCTGGTAGTAGGGGCAACACAAGCAGTTAGCGTTCAGCATGCTAGAGCAGTGTAGATTTACACACTATCTTGCTGTGCACTACTTGCTCTCAGCATTATTCTCATTAGTTACAATTTGACCATGCAGTTTTTTCACAAATAGACCTCCCATGAAAGACAATTACAGGAAATTTGCTGGTTCAGGGAAGAATGTGTATTTGCACCCACTTAGATCCCTTTGCCATAGGTTTACCTCAAGTTTCATTTTATATCCATAATAATAATTATTTTTCTGGGTAAGATAAGAAATAGGTACAGATGGTCAAAAATTGGAATTTCTGTCCTGTGGGAAATTCTGATATTTTGACATTTCTTTTCATCCCAAATTGGATGAACAGAAATTTCAATTTGGAAATGTCGAAACGTTTCATTTCATTTCAAGTAGGCTCAACATTAAGCTGCATCTGCCTGAAGTGCTGCAGGGCTGTAGTTTAGATGCCTCAGGTCCTTTTTGCTCTATGCTCTGGACTCCCCAGCTGAACGGCATCTCCATGATCCACTGCAGCAGTTCAGCCAAAGGAGAGGCTGCTGTGCATCATGGTAGTGTTGCCTCTGCAGAGGGAATGTGCAGAGGCGATCTTGATGAATTGTTGGATTTTATTTTAGCTTTAGAGGAGGAAGGAACCTCCTTGGTAGGCATAAAGGTGCTCACAGAAAGTTGGCTGAGTGGTTCTGTAGTTGGCTGAAGTGGTCACTGCAGTGCTGATGAGCTCCTACTCTAATTAGCCTCCCAGGTCTCTTAGGGTATGTCCAAGCCCAGAGCTAGTAGAACTAGAGTTAGAAGACCCTGGGTTTGTTAACCTAGGGCTTGAGCGTCCACACTCATTTGTAACCCCAGGTGAGGAATTTTTGAACCCTGCTGAATTTTTGAACCCCACTGAAACCAACTGGAGCTCCAGTTGTTCAGCACCTTTTAAAATCATTTTAGAGTTTTTATTTATATACCTCAACAGGGAGTCTAAGTGTAGACACCTAGGTTTAAATATTTTGGCCTGTATGTATCTGCTATTTGCTTGGACTGAATTCTGCAGTCATCCTGCATGCATAACACTCCATTCAATCCATGTATCTGGAAGGGCTGCAGAATCAGGTTGGTATCTACCCATATAAGAAAACTGTAGGAATTATGTTAACCTAAGGTGAAAAATAATTTATGTTCCCAAATCTCTGTGCCTGAAACGGACCTCAATTATACATCTGAAGAAGTACAATAGCAATAGAAAGTCTGCTAAACAGGGCCGGCTCCAGGCACCAGCCTGGCAAGCAGGTGCTTGGGGCGGCTGCTCCAGAGAGGGGCGGCACGTCCAGGTATTCCGCGGCAATTCGGAGGACGGTCCCTCACTCCCGCTGGGAGCAAAGGATCTCCCGCCGAATTGCCGCTGCAGATCGCGATCGCGGTTCTTTTTTTTTTTTTTTTTGGCTGATTGGGGCGGCCCAAACCCTGGAGCCGGCCCTGCTGCTAAAACCCCCCTTTCAGGCTAAAACTCCAAATTCAGAAGGCCTGTGAATTGGAACTTAACCATGTTTTGGGAAAGTGAATGATCTGCACAAGTGCAGATTTGAATGGAGTACAAACCCACATTCATTAGGGCAAAATTCTCACCTTGATCCACCAGACATACAAACTCTGATATCCTGCCCTTTCTACCTACGGGGACTCTAATGACTATGGTAGGAGTTTACCACACTTAGCTCGGACTGCCATACAGATCTAACAAGAGAATTTTACATGTAGCTTGGTCTGATTAATTTCTGTAAACTTCCTTTTCCCATATGCTCTTGTGTCCGACAGGGATCCAAATCCATAGG